AGTAAAATATTAAAAATTTACGATAATGGAAATTTTATCATACGAAACCTAGCTTTATCCTCCATAAAATAAAAACGTTTGCTATCATTTCTTTCAATTATTAATAATAAATGAAAGCATGTGTGATTTAGGACACATATGTTGAAATGGTAAGAATAATTATTTTGCAATGACTTTTAAGTCCTGGTGGGTATATTTACATTCAAACTTTTTTTATCTAAATATATATAGTGTTTGTTCGACCTTGTTTCCGCAACTTGGTCGGAGGGTCAGAGAGACCTTGTGTAACGTACCTAGTTCCGTGTCTTCTACCAGAGTATTCGTGATTTCCAGCATTGAACCGTTGGATGGGTACATTCCTAAACGTTTCGCTGGCATCGTAGTCGGCATCATCGAACAAACACTATAAAGCTAAAGAAGACTGCGACCAAACAGGAGGCCACATCATCTTGGTCTTCGTATCTACGATCTAAATATATAAACCTAAATTAACTGCAAACGCATAATTTATATTACTGTGAAAATCTATTTAATTTAATTTGTTAGCAATTTTGTTGAAATTATTAGCATTATGATCGCTTGAAGTATTTGTATATTTTACTGATAAATCTGCTCAAAATTTTTTGACGCCTCAAATTAATTTTTCGCATAAGTTTAACTGCTTTTTTTCATTATCATCTAAGTTATTACTATGTTGTGAGCTATAATCTTGATTTGAATCTAACCTACATCCTATATAAAGAGTATAATTGAATCTAATAGTCGTATAAAAAAATCTGTGCTAATGAACGATAAGCTTGGCTTATTGTTAGAAGAAAAATAAAATGATAAATTATTTTTCTTTGTTCGCATAATTAGGCTTGCTTACTAAGCATGCACTATTTACTTACTTTATCTGAAAAATTCTGGTCTATTAACTTGACTCATACAAATCTCATGATCATTTTATTAAAATAAAGTACTATACGTATGAAATATATGCGCAAACTGGATGAGGTATTCAAGAGTTGGCCTTAGCCTTCACAATATATATCTGTGCATATATGTCCATGCATATATTATGGCGAGAATAGCAGCCAAACTGAGCTACAATAAAATACCAGGCTGGTGTACCATTAATTCGTTTAGCTCTTACCCCTAATATATTCTTATTTAATCTATGCCAAAACCAGGCCCCTTAAGTAAAGCTAATTGCTAGTAAATAAATATACTGCTTCTCGTCCTTATGTAGGCAAATAAGCGGTAGATTCAAAGAAGTCTTCTCATGTATTCCATTAATTTTTATAAAATTCCATGAATAATTTCTTTCTTGCTACATTTATTATGCACTTAGCAAGCTGAATAGGTTGATTTAAAATATATTCCCAAATCTTGAGCAGCCAAGTTCTTTCCCTTAATTTCATTTGGTCCCTAACTCTGATAATCTGGATATCCCAAATTCATAATTGGTTTTTTTAAGCACTGGCTTAGTAGATCCTTTATAATAGATACAAAACTATGTGAAACTTATTGTGTATAGTTTCAAATATACTGAGAAATGAACTTTTGCTATCCTCTAATGGTGTGTCTTTTGAAGTTGCTACTATTTTCTTATTTAATTAATTTATAGACTGCGACCACACAAAAGGCCACACCATCTTGGGCTTCATACCTTAATTAATTTATGTCTACTTAAGTTGCTATGGAATTTTTGTTTTAACGAAGAATTTGACATCATCTCTACCCTTGACTATCATTATACCCCATATTTTTCTTGCGAATCTGAGTTAATTAATCAAATTATCAAATTAAATTGTAATTTAGATTTTGTAAAAATATCCACCTACTTAGAATCAAACACAAAACAATTTTTTATATGCTATCAGTGCAGCATCAATTTAAATGGTATTAGTATTTAGGAACAGATCATGTTGGAAAAAAAAATCAGATTCCATAAAGGTCCTTGATGTAAAACTGGTAAACTGACATTCCATTTATTCGAAAATTTGTGGATGATATTCCTACGTCGTTCTCACCAATAAGTATTCTTTTTCGTTGATAAAGGCAGCAATAAGAACTGATATGCCTGCACAAAGTTGTAGCTAAACAACTGGCAGATCGATTAAGTCATAAAATAGGATTTATTTAGCGACATAAATACAGGTTCTATACAGTTTATTAATTAGATCATATGATTAATGCATATTAAGGTCTAGTAAAATCTCTTCCATCGTTATCTTACAACTATATATTTATGTTAAAGGGACTAAAAATGCAATTGTCAGTTTGAAGTTAAGTCATTTTTGAGTAGCTTTGAGCAGCAAATGCCCTATGAACCTTTGGCACTGAGTATAAGGCGCCTGGTTCTAACCAACTGACTAAAATCCTATTTGAGGGCTCATAATAAATATTGAGTAGGCTTTCGAGACTACATGTAAATCATATATATATAATATACCGGTAGTCTCAAAAATCTACTCAATAGCAAAAAGGTAATGTCGTCGATTGCCAAGGCAAATATACGTTGGCTCCATCGATAATCCCAACACAAAATGAGATGTGGAAAATGCCTAACCTTCCTTTAAATTTGTATCTGCCCTGTTACCAAAGGCGCGTGTGAAAATTTGGCGGAGTGGTTACCGTTAAGAGTTCACATGCTGCACAGTCATGGTTCGTCTTCCGCTGGAGGTGTTGATAAGACCTATGCGAGATCGAAAATGGAGTCTTTTTGGAAAGCAAGGCTATGCAAAATTCAATGAAAGTGTCAACTCTACTTATATTGTGAGAAACTTCAACTAAAAGTCCCTTATCACCTTAAACGAAATTGGGTGAATACATCTCATAGTAAATAGCCAGGTTTTATCTCGAGTGAGAATTTTATTCAAGAGAATATGTACGGTTCGATTATCTTGCAATATAGTACTTTTCCTTATTTATCATAGAGATTAATGGACGTTATCTCGGCATTGAGGACCAATGTATTGGCGCTCTATATAATTTTCCTGACTTACTCGTAAAGGAACGACAAACCGAACTTTTTCCTACAAATATGCTTATAATTTAACTTTGAATGAATGTTTGTAATAGAGTCAGTTAAAAATCCTTAAATAACAAAGCTAAATATAAACTCAGATTACTAATCATTTAAATTCGGTTTTGAGTTATTTACTTAAGAGCTTACACCCTGTAGCGAACTAAACTTAATGCTCACGAAATAAATGTGTCTGAAACTCAAATAAGTTCAGGCATTATCATGCTTATATAAACATTTTAGGCTCTGCTATCGTCCCAACAGGTAGTATGCTGAGAAATCCAAATTCTCACGGTTATCAACAGATTTCTTCAAATGGTTTTTATTCTCTAATTCTTTTATTTTCATTGTTCTTTTTATACTTTCCATGGTATTAGATTTCAATACAAACAATATTGCATAAATGCTATTTTCGAATTCAACTGTAAATTATAATATAACTCATATTTTAAGAAACAGGAATGAATAAATATAACCCTGGTGTCCATACGTAGTTTTGATTATAAAGAAGCCTTCACTTTTAGCAAAGTTTTTGATTTTTATCAATATGGCTAAAGATTCTTTATATCCTAGATTATTTTGGACCAGCTTGTAAGGCAATATTTGATACACACTATGCTCCATTGAAACATCAGTCCATCCTGGATGAGAGCAACTTTTGGGAAAGCAAGGCTATGTGAAGATCAATGGGAACGTCAGCTCTACTCATATCATTGTGGGGAAAATTCAACTACCAGTCCTTAGTCACCCTAAACCAAATAGGGAGAACTCCACTCATATATCTGATTTACTAGCAGTCTTGAGAAGCTACTAACTAATGAAACTTATAGATACTTTCTTGTTTTTAATATTCCTATTTAAATCCTCTAATAGAAAGCTTAACGAATTAAATGCGAAGAAGAAATGAAGTCCAAGATTGTGGGACTTTAAGTATTATCGCGTTCTCGTTTCGACTTATAGATGTGGTCTTGTCTCTTTGACAACGTCGGCAAGCCATGCCAATTTGTGCTGCTAAAAACGGCAAGGTTCATTGACGATGCCGGAGAACGTCTCGAAATGTACCAAGTCTGTAGTTAGACTCTGGATAATGTCATGCATACTATGGACTCCGGAAAAATATTTTTTCCCCTGATCTTCCTGTCAATAGAACCAAGTTGTAAAAACAAGGTAGAACAGCTTCAAAGTGTGCAAAAGTTTCTCTTCTTAAATAAATTACAGTATGTGTTTCATAAGCTTCGTCAAAATCTTTTTATTCGCTTTTCCTGTGACTTAACCTCTTATTTTAATTTGTACATTTAGCTTAGCCTTTTAACCTAATCTATATAGCTCGGTGTTTAATAAGGTCACAATAACTCGACAATAAAAATTTTACCCAGTTTTGCTCTCCTATCTATATTAAGGCGTAGTTCCCAATAGCCTGATACTGTGATGTCAACATACTAAAGAACATAGGAACATTAAATAAACATGAATCTTTTTTCCTTCATTCATCATATGGGCAACTATTTT